GAGGGGTGGGAGAGGCTGGAAGCAAAGGGATGTGGATGTACAGGAGGAAGGGGACATTAATCACTGGGGGGGTGAGGGAAATTGAAAGAATTTGTTCAAATTTGTAGTTGAATTTTATAAATAAACTAGTAGGAAAAAAAGGAATAAAAAGTTTAGAATGTGAAAAAAATATATGAAGAGAACCTAAATAATCCACCATTTCCAAACAAGGAAATAAATGTGTTTAAATTAAAAAAAAAAAAAGAGTTTTAGTTTCGAGAGATTCTCAGTCAAAGTTGGTAAAAAAGAATAATCAACATCCGTGTACTTATCACCTTGATTCAATAACTTAAATAGCAAATAACTTAAAACTTCAGGTTTACCCATATTTATTTACTGCCCTTCATTCTGTTCAAATGCAACAAAATAGGTCTCTGACAGTCTACATACTTGTATTTTTCTTTTAACTTCCCAAGATAAATCTGGTGGAGAACTATTGACTTAGATCCCTCGCTAAAGTAGGGATATCACCGTTCACTGCATTTCAGCAGAAAGTAGCATAATCTGGCAAATGAGAGATGAACCCTTTGAATGGAAACGGCAAAGAAAAGAAGGGATCTGAAGCCTATCATACTGCAAATAAAATCAGCATATTACTTAATTGAAAGAACTAAATGTTCCCAGAGACTTTCCCATCTATTTATTTAGATCAATAGTGAATGTACCACTTCTTTTTTCAGGGACAAGGTAGTCACAATTTCTTTTTTAAAAAACATTTAATCCTTCAATTTGTCTCTTAGAAAACAACAATCTTACTTAAGATATTAGGTGTGTTTTAAAAAAATAAAATTATAGTCACCAAATATTGATAAAATCAATTTTATCATATTTAAAGCTGTGTATATATTTAATAATTATCCATATTTAAATGAAATGATAAAAATGCATTCACTTTTATAATGTCTTTTTTAATTTTAAGGACTATTTCTTTGAAATCAAATTGACAAAAACAACTTGAAATAATACATGGGATCTGTAGGGTCAATGAGATTATTTTAATGAATGACAACTCAAAAAAGGAAGGTGGGAATGGTCATATAACTCAGAAAATGTAGTCAATGCAACTAAATGATATATGTATACAGAAACAATACAGTTGATATATGTTTTGCTGTGTATATTCTGAACAACAATAACAAAATAAAATTTTTAAAAAACGTAAACATGTAAGATCAGGAATCTTCTCTATCTGGTTAAGCACCGCAACTGCAGTGCCTAGCAGAGTCATGCCTAAAGCTACCTGGCCAAGATTGTTAAAGATAATATTGCACGCAACAGAAAGCAAAAGTTGCTATGCATATATTATTGAGCTTATAACAACATAGATATATATATATATACTTCCCCAAAACACTGCGGTGATTACTGTTTTGAAAAGAAATGATTGGGAGAACTGAGGCTCAAACAGAAACTTGTACACCAATGTTTATAGCAGCATTATTCACCATCACAAGAACATGGAAAATAGCCCAGATGTCCTACCACAAATGAATGGCTTGAAAAACTGTGCTACATTCACACAATGGAATGAATATACTACACAGCACACAAGAGTAATCATTTCATAAATTACTACCTAACTTGGGAGGGGCTGGAGAGCAATACGCTGAGTGAACTAATAACTCAGTCCCACAAGGACAAATACTGTATAAAATCATTATTATAGAATGAGTAGGAGGATCCAAGGTGGGGGGCAGAGGGTGGAAATAGAGGGGTGAGAACTGGGGTAGGGTGTTAATCATAGGGTTGCACAATTTGATAGGTGGATGGGGAGAAGGAAATGGGAAAGGTCTTTTGTGAAAAATAATGTATTCAAACTTTGTAAATAAATCACAGTAATATAAATAAAATTTTAAAAAATGATTGGCTTAAAAATTTGTTGTTCTTAGCACTTTTATAATTTCTGAATCTTACATTTCTGTGCTTCCAGTTTCATTTAGTTTCTAAATTGTAATAATGCATTATTTATTAGAATGAACTACATTTGACAGTCATAGTAATTTAAAACAATAAAAAAATTAAATTGCTAATATTCTACTTATAAGGCTTAGTTTCCTTATTTTAAAATCATCTTCATTTTACTTATGTACATAGCACTCACCAGACAAATAAAACCCAACTACTTTCGATCATTAGCTTTCGCCATGCACTGACCTAACTTGGTGTCTTCCTCTTTCCTTCTGTGTCTTCCACTCCTCCTCATGTTTCTGCAGCTGCCTGAGCAGCTCTGACTTGGTCGTCGTCTTGTCAAAAGGGAGAGAATCTGCTACAGCAGACGCAGCTGCCACTAACTCAGGACTCAAGGACTCCACTCTGAAAAGGAAAAACCAATGAGAAAGGAAACAGAAGATGGGAGAGAGTCCACTTATTACTCCGTTAACTTAGTGAAACTCTCTCTTACTGCTATCACCTCAGAACTGATTCGGCTGACCCTCAGTGGGTTACTGAAGGTTTCAGAGGAGATGACCTCTTTATCCTAAGGAGAATCTGGTGGGTTAGAAAAATCCAGAGAGGCACCACCTTTTGGGCTAGCAGTGCAACTCCCCATGGACTACACCACTAGAGAATTTAGTGAAAAGCGAAATAACTTCCGAAAAGCCCTTCTGTCATTCATAAAATACCATTATATCAGTTTAAAAAAATCAAAGCAAATTATCAAGAGTTTAAAGGCAACAGAGATAAGTAAGATTATATTTAAGACCCTTTAATAACTATTAACAGTAATCCTTACCACTAGGCCACCAAGGCACTCTCAGTATTAACAGTAATCTATGATGAAGATATATATGCAAAAAACAGACACAAGCTGAAGAGGAGACTAAGACTGTATCTCCAAATACATGCAGGTTTGATAGAGGCTAATTCTACAAATATGCTTACATTTACTGCAAATATGTTCATGAATATAGGAGAGTACATGCAAGCCAAAGTTAAGAAAACTTCCTAGCCATAATCAAACACCTTGAGGGAACAGGAGTAGCTCAGGACCATAATCTTGGCAGATATCAAGGTCAACAGGCACACTGTAGTCCAAAATGGCACACTATAGTGCAAAAAGGCAATATTTCACACTCTACTGTAGTGATAATCAACTGAAGTCTTAAAAGCAACTAAGAGGCAACCTTTGTCTCTCTTCATCTGGAATAAAGAAGAGTAAATGAAAGATGTGTGAAAACAACTGGTTGGAAGGACTACTAGCTCATGAAAACCTCAGTCTCGAAGACCCTGAGACTAGATCTAGCTGGTGACCAGCTACTACTAATCACATTGAATGGGATCAAAACAGAAAGTCCTGCATAGAGAGGGAGGAAAATGTGGAACAAAGTGTGTCACTTTTAAAGCTTTTATTTGTGCTACAACTTAAACCTTATCCTTAAATTACTAATTCTTTCATAAACTCCTTGCCAAGTGTACTTTCAAAATGTAATAGGTATTTGATAAAAATATATATAGAGAGGAGTATACATTTTATAGAGTCATGCTTTCATATCACTAATTTCCTTTCGTTATCACCTCTGGTTTTATAATTAGAAATAGGCTACTAAATCCAAAGAAAAATACCAAGCTTGGTCAAGTTGAGGACCATAAAGAAATAGGATCTGCTCAATGAGATGGACAGACACAGGGACTGCAATGGTGCAGGACTGGGCAGTGCTACACACAAGTCACTATGAAGTCAGAGCCAACTCAATGGCACCTATGAGAACTTGTTAAAATATCTATTTTATACCCTTCTGTATCTTCTAAAAAGACCCTGGGGGTGGGGGGCACAATGGCTAAAAAGTTCAGTTGCTAACCAAAAGTTTCCAAGAAAACTTCTCAAATGCTTTACCATCAAGTCAAAACTGACTCACAGAAAAACCAGCAGATTTCAGGAGGTTGTAATCACGTGGGAAGAGAGTGCCCATCATTCTCCCTTGGGACCACAGGTGCATTAGAACCTCCTCCAAAGAGGCAATGCCTATGTGTTAGCAGTGCAAACTCTTTGTGGACAAATTGTTCAATACTTCAAACCTACTCTTAAGATGATTTTTAAACTCAGATGTGGGAGACTCAAGATCAAAGTTTGGTTCTCATGGACTTGTTTTAATTTTCTTCAGCTTCAATTAGAACTCGCACATGAGTAATTAAGTGATGCTCTGTTCCACAGTCAGCATCTGGTTGTGACTGCTGATACTGAGCTTCCCCAACAATTTCTTCCATGAATGTAGTCAATCTGATTCCTGTGCAGTTCACCTAGTGATGTCCATGTGTAAAGCTGCCACTTGTGTTTTTTTAAAAAAAATATTTAGAAAGGAGCTCTGGTGACCTAATGGCAAGAAGCTGCACTACAATCCCAGAGGTACATGGTTCAAATTCACCAGATGCTGTGCTAGAGAAGGAGGGGCAATCTCCTCCAGTACCAGTCAGATCTGTTTTGACGGTACACACACACAAAAATAATAAAATAAAATAAAATTAATTAAAAAAAAGTATTTAGAGGAGGGGTAGGGGCTGTAGAGGGAATTATGAGGTTGCAGAGCTGGTGGGTGGAAGGAGGGATGAAGGAATTAGGAAAGATCCAGTGGGAATCTGAAAAGACAGGGTAATAGTGGACATAGCTCAATGGTGATTAATTTTATAGGACACAATCTACATGCTACAATGAAAGAATGCTTTTTTAAAAACGTGAACTGGGGAGGGGAAGAAAGGGAGGGGGCAAAAATGCAATAATGAATGAATAAAAATCTAACTTCTCTATAAAAACCTGTTAAAATCAATTAAAATTTTAATTTAAAAAAGAGACAATGTAGAGGACTGTTTGTATGAAACACAATGTGAATGAAAAAAATTTAAGTGTGTATATACACACACACGTATATGTATATATATATATGTACACATACACTCTGGTGGCCTAGTGGCAGGAAGCTGTGCTGCAATCCCGAAGATACATGGTCTGAAGCCACGGGCTGCTCCACGGGAAAAGGCTGGGCAGTTTCCTCCCATGCAATTAACTGCCTCTGAAAACCCGCTGGCGGTCAGCTATGGGTCGTTCTGACTCTATGGTACACAATGACAACGGCTATATATAAAGTATTTGCTATGAATAAATCACTGAATATACTAAATTCAATCATCCTTGTGCCAGCTTCATTTCTGACACTAAGTCTGTACTCTCCGACTACCCTTCCTTCTTCATCGTTTCTAACTTTTGCAATTCAATCACCAATTATCATGAACACATCTTGGGTGCATACTTGGTCAATTTCAGACAGCAAAATTTGATAAAAATCTTCCATTTCCTCCTCTTTGCTTTAGCTGTTGGTGCGTATATTTGACTAATAGTCATATTAACAAGTATTTCTTATATTTGTACAGATAATATGCTATCACCCACAACACTGTACTTCAGGAGAGAATTTACTAATGCATCAAGCAGGAAGTAGAAGCAGGAGTGGCATCCACTTCCTAAACAACTTGCCTCTGGAAACTCTATGAACTCTGAAAAATGTCGATAGTTGTAAAGGGGCTTCAGGCCTTTTGTTCACAGGGTCGCTGTGAATCATGCTCGACTCGAAGGCAATCAACAGCAACGCCTAGAATGTCGATCCTCATGATCCACTTCATTTTTCACAACTCCTAGTTTTCCAAAATTCATACTCCATACAGTCAACTAAAGGATGTCTGCAGCTATTTTTCATTCTGACTGACTTCCAATCTGGGCTCTACCTTTAATACTATTCTCTATTTACATTCCTCTATTGTTCATAGGGTTTTCGGAGGCCTACTATTTCAGCAGTGGAAGGCCAATCTTCCTTCCTTGTCTGTCTTAATCTGGGAGCTCCATTAAAACCTGTCCACCACGGGTGACCCCTCTGGCATTTAACACACCGGTGGCACAGCTTTCTGCATCCCAGCAACCCACAAGTTACCCCTGGACACCAAATGGACAGACGAGTGCTGTACTAATTAGAATAATGATAAATCAGCAATACAGATATCCAAGCTACAAAGGAATTAGCAATAACTGCATCACTACTTAACTGCCAAAGCACTGAGAATCATGTCCCAGCCAAAATGACACATAACCTTACCTAGCACAATGAGTGTTACTCTTGCCTAAGACCTAAGTGTCCACTAAAGTTAGACATACCTCATTAATGCACAAAATAGTAAGATTTTTCACTGTTGTTATATGTGTGTGTGTGTGTGTGTGTGTGTATATGAAATGTCAAATAACAGTTGATAAGTTAGGAAGTAGGCATAACACTCTTACAAGTACATGTAATTACATACTCTGAGGAAATAAAGATTACTGAGAATTACTGGTCAAAGAAGTAATTATCAAACCTGTAACGAATATGCTAAAATTCACTGTGAGGAGTAATTATTTAAAAAGGCAGTTTCAAATAAGTTCTTAATAGATATATAAAGCTACCCTCAATCAAACTGTAAAAGCCATTTCTAATTAACAGCTTAAAGTGGCAATTGTTGTTGCTGTTGTTATAATGCCACTGAATTCCCTGTAACTTACAGTGACCCTACAACAGCTCCGAACCCTGCCCTGTACTAAATCAGTCTCACTGACTCTGACTCACCTAATCCCATTGCCCCAGTTATCCTGTCAATCCATCTCAATGGTGGTCTCCCTCTCCTGCACTGTCCCTCCACCCTTCCAAGCATGATGTCCCTCTCCAAGGACTAGTCCTTCTGGCTACATGTCCAAAGTATGTGAGATAGAACTTCAAAATCCTTGCCTCCACAGAGTGACAATTACTTGGTAGTTAATAACACTGATAAATATCAAAGATAATGTGAGACATTCTCAGTAAAACCACTATTCTCCAAGTAGCAGAGTTATTGAGATTGTAAAGTGATATTTATTCTTATAAATATTATTCACCAGACTCATGGGAGTACTCTCTTCTATTTTAATGAAAACAAAAATAATTTCTGAAAACAAAAGCTTATTGGAGTTTCAAAAACTACTTTACTCAAATCTCAATTCAATTTACCTTTCCTTTGTGGAGTTTTCTGTAGTTTTTTTAAGCCTGCCAATTGTAATCTCTAAACTTTTTCTAGGTCTTCTGTTGGGTGGCTGCGTTGTTTGTACATTTATGGTATTTAATTCAACCTTCATACCCTTAATAATATTTAACAAGTCTTGCTTTGGGTTCTCTTTTGCACTGCCTTTGCTCTGGGAAGCTTCCTTGGATGTCTTAGGAACTTCAGTAGACTCCTCATCTTTCTTGTTAGTGCCAAAATACCTCTGGATGATAGTCTTTGTCCTAGAAAAGACAAATTAAAGGGAAGAAAAAGTAAAAACTTAATCTAAAAACAAACAAACAAAACTTAATATAGTAAAGCAATACGGAACTGTTTATGAAATTTTCAAATTAAATTCTTCTCATTGGCTTTTGCTCTTTAATAAACAGTTTCTGCATGGATCATTTAGTGACACTGACTACTTATTCCAGTGGTGCAACCATTTCCTCCGTCCCTTTCTAAATTATTCCTCCCCATTAACATAAGCTCACAGCCCTTGATGGTTCTCATCTCATCTTTCAGGTTGTCACCGATGTGATTCCTGAGACATAGTTCCAAAAGAGCAGAATGCTAAAGGCAGACACTTTTAACAAGCTAAGCTAAATCAGGGTTTGCTTTTAAGAGATTTGGGGAAATATGTTTGGTTTAAGGCTCTCAGGGCAATAGTTTCAGAAATTCATCTAGCCTTCATGGCTCCAGGAAATCTTAGGTCTATGATGATTTGAAATTCTGATCTGTATTTTCCAACTGTTAGTCACAATTCTTCTATGGAATCTTAGTCAAAATGTTCGGTAATGACAGCCAGCCAGTTCTGGTCTCATGATAAAAGTAGACAGTGTTCATATTGGTAATTATCTACACATTCCAGATCTTACTTCTGGCTCTCTTCTTCCTCTCTATTGGAGGAAAACATAGGCAAATGTTATACCCTAATTGATTGCTTGCTTGCAAAGTTCTAAGGACCTAGGTACTAGGTGTCAGACCAGAAGGTTAAACAGTTGTTGTGTACCGTTGAGTTGAACCAACATGTTATTTTTGTTGTTGTTATATGCCATCGAGTTTCTTGCAACTTATAACGACCCTATGTACAAAAGCTCTGAAACCTGCTCTATCCTATGCCAACTTTATTGTCTCTGACACACCTACCCTCGTTACCCTAGTCACTGAGTCACTCCATCTCATCGAGGGTCTTCCTCTCTTGTGCCGTCCCTCTCCAAGGACTGGTCATTCCTTGTAACATGCTCAAGGTATGTCAGAGGAAGCTTAAGAACCTTTGCCTCCTAGAAGCAACGTGGTTTCACCCTCTCCAGGCTGAACCTGTTTATTCTCCTTGCAAACCACAATATATTCGATATTCTTCTCTAGCACCACAGCTCAAAGGCATCAATTCTCTTTTTATCATCCCTAGTCACTGTCCAGCTACATGATGCATAGCAAGTAAATGTGAAGACTATGGGCTGGATCAGGCACATCTTAGTCTCCAGACTGACATCCTCCCTTCAGTATTCTGGAGAAGTCCCTGACGGCCGACTTTTCCCACTGCAAATCATCGCTTGATTTTCTGGCTGCGGGTACCAAGAGTACTGATTGTGGAGCCAAACAAACTGAAGCTGTTAACAATCTCAATCTCTTCATCATCTATCATAATGTTGCCAATCAGCCCAGCAGAGAGAATCTTCTTTTCTTGATGTCGAGCTTCAATCCATTTTGAAAGCTGCAGTCCGTGACCTTCTGAAGCAAGCGCTTCAGGTTCTCCTCAATTTCAGCAAGATGGGTTGTGTCATCTGCATAACACAGGAATTGATGAATCTTCTTCCAATCTTGATGTCGCATTCCTCCTCATACAGGCCAGCCTCCCAGATGATCTGTTCTGCATATAGACTGAAAAGGTATGGAGATGGTACAACCACTCTGGAAAGCACTTGGCATTTCCTCAAAAAGCTGAACACAGAAATTCCATATGACCCAGTTATTTCATTGCTTCGAATATATCCTGAGAGACTGAGAATTGAGGCACAAACAGAAACTTATACACCAATGTTCACAGCAGCATTATTCACCACTGCAAGAACATGGAAACAGCCCAGATGTCCAACCACAATCTAATGGATTGAGAAATTACGGTACATTCACACAATGGAATACTATGCAGCATGCAGGAGCAATTATTTTGTAAATCACTACCTAACTTGGGAGGGACTTGACAGCATTATCTAAGTGAACTAACTCAGTCCCATAAGGACAAATATTATATAGGACCATTATTGTAGAATGAGTATGAGGATCCAAGGGGGAGTAGGGTGGGAGCAGAGGGGTGAAGAGAGGCAAGGTGGGGGTATCAATCATAAGGTTGCACAATTTGATGGGTGGGTGTGGGGGGAAGAAAATGGGAAGCATCCAGTGTGAAAAACAATGTATTAGAACTGTGCATATAAACCAGTATAAAATTTAAAAAAAACTTTAAAAAATTATAGTTTGTGTTTAAAATAAATGAAAGGTATGGTAATAGGACATCTCCCTGGTGCACACCCTTTCCTGTTCTGAATCATGCAGTGTTTCCTTGCTCTGTTCTGACTGTCTCCCGGTCCAAGAATAGGTTTCACATAAGCACACTCAAGCATTCTGCAATTCCCATTCTTCTCAGAGTCAGCCACAGTTTGTTATGATCCACACGGTCAAATACCCTTGCAGAGTCAATGAAACACAGATAGATATTCCTCTGGTTCTCTTTGCTTTCTACTAAGATCCATCTAACATTAGCTATAATATCCCTAGTACCACAGCCTCTTCTAAAACCAGCCTGCACATCTGGCAGTTCTCTGCTGATGTGCTGTTTTCAGCAGTTTGGGGATAATTTTTAGCAGAATCTTGCTTGCATGTGATATTAATGATATACTTCGATAATTTCCATACTCTGCCAGGTCACCTTTCTTTGGAATAGGAACAAATATGGATCTTTACCAGTCAGTTGGCCAGGTGGTTGTCCTCCAGATTTCTTGGCACAACTTGGTGAGTGCATCCAGGACAGCAGCTGCTTGTTGAAATATGTCAAGTGGTATTAGGCCAATTAATTAGGATGTCCCATAACACCATAGTGAGCTCTGGTGGCCTAGTGATAAGCAGCTGTGCTGCAACCCTGAAGGTATGCAGCTGCTCGGCAGGTAAAGGATGGACAATCTCCCCCAGTGCAATTAACTGCCTCTGACAACCCACTGGAGGGTCAGCTGTGGGTCAGTCACAACTCAACCGTACTCAACAACAACATGAAACTATGACCCTAATGCTCCAAACCAAGAAATTAAATTCCATGAGGTTTTGGGTTGTACATAGTAGTCTTAGCAGCTGTGCTCCTCCCCCCCACACAAAGGAGAGGGGATTATTATAAATAGATCATTCAACTTTTTACAGATGTACAACTTACTGACAGAAATTATAACAATTAACAGTGCCCTAACTATTAGTTCTCTTTCTGCATCCCTCTCACCTCCAGGAAGCACTAATATACTATGTTCTCTGTACATTTGTCTATCAATGAAGTCGTACAATATCTGCCTTTCCTCCTTTCATGCAGCATGTTTTCCAGTTCCACTCACATGTAGCATGTATCTCATTTCCCCTTCTGGTTGAGCAGTATTTCTTTGTGTATCTGCATCGTATCTTGTCTATCCATTCATCTGTTGACTTAGACTGTTTCTGCCTTTTGGCTACTGAACAGTGCTGCAATGAATACTGGGATACAAGTCTTTGAGTCTCTGCTTTTAAATCTTTTGCGAGTATACCTAGGAATCCCTATACCTAGGAAATAAAATCAGTCTTTTAAATCAGTCACATAGTAGTTCTCCCTTACTATTATCCATAGTATTTTTTATGATCCACACCAGCAGATGCCTTTGCATAATCAACAAAATATAAATAAATAACCTTCTGGTATATTCTGCTTTCAGACATGATCCATCCGACATAAGCAATGTTATCCCTCTTCTGAACAGAGGCTGAGTTCTGGCAGTCCCTACGGATGCACTGTTCCAAACACTTACAAATAATCTTCAAGATTTTACTTGCATGTGTTATGAATGACATTGCTCAGTACTTCCCACATTCTGTTGGATCAGCTTTTTTGGAATGAGAACAAGGAAACACTGCATGGTACAAACCCCATTTGTGGCATTGCAGTGTATTCTGTCCCTTGGTAAGCTCTGAGCTTTGTGCTACAGTAGAAGGGAAGAGCATGGAGCTGCCAATATCTCCATCTATTTCTCTTAGGATTCAGTAGGTATAGGGTGGAATTCAAGAAGTACAGTGACTGCAACAATAGGCTTGAGCATAACGGAGCTCATGAAGACGGCAGAGGATGAAGACGGCAGAGGGTGAAGACGGCACAAGGTTCAGATGGTCACTACAAACTGCAGTCACCTCAATGGTATCTAACCCTAATAACAAGTTGTTCCAAGGTGATGCTGATGTTGTCTTCCAAGAAATCACATTTGTGTAGATCTGTTGTTGATGGCATTGACATCTTACAAGGCAGGTTTTATTATTCCCACATTACAGAAGGGGAGGAATCTGCTAGTCAAAGTGTTTCAATCAGTGGTTCCAAACCTTTAAAGATAATAAGAATCATCTAGGGGGCTTATTAGAAGTGTAGATTTCTAATTGATAATATTGGGATAAAACTTGGTTTCTGCATTTTAACCTAGACCCCCAGGTGATTCTGATATAAGCATCTCAGGGCTCTGCATTAGAGTTGGGTTAAATACATCATATATTCAGTGTCCAGGTCTTTAGTGAAAGAGAAACGGCGATTTTCAAAAGCCCTGAAACAGGCTATTTGCTCTTCGGACAACAATGAGAGAAGCTATCATATCAGGCACTTAAAAATTGCAATTAAAAAATTAATTGTGTAACCAGTATTCTCCTAATCAGTACATTGGGACCAAGTTATAATGCCATTTAATGTACAGCACCATTCAAATTAATTAAATGACTATAATTACTTGACATTTTAATGATATTAAAGGACTTATTCTGTAACAGGAGATTGAACTGCACATATGTTGTTGTTATGTGCTGTCGAGTCACTTGTGACTCATAGTGACCTTATCTGCAATAGCCTTAAACTCTGCTCTGTCCTGTGCCAATCGCACTGTCTCCGAAACACCCATTTCGATTACCCCAGTCACTGAGTCAATCTACCTCATGGAGGGCCTTTGTCTCCTGCGCTGTCCCTCCACCCTCCCAAGCATGATGTCCTTCTCCAAGGACCGGTCCCTCCTTATAACATGTCCAAAGTATGTTAGATGGAGCCTCAGAATCTTTGCCTCCAAAAAGCCTCCCAGTTTAACCCTTTCCAGAATGAATCTGTTTGTTTTCCTAGCAGTGCGTGGTACTCTCAATACTCTTCTCCAGACCACAGCTCAAAGGCCTCAATTCTCCTTCTATCCTTGTTTTTGTTGTCATGTGTCATTGAGTTGGAACCCACCCAAAGCTGGCCCTCCAGCAGGTTTTCAGAGGCTCTAAATCCTGTGCTCGTTTTGGTAGCACATGTACTAAAAACTGGAACAGAGACTGTAAATCCCATGGGAGGAGACTGTTATCTTTCTCCCTCAGAGCTGTTGGGTGGATTTGAACCTCATGCTGTTGGCAACGCAACTTCTTACTCACTAGATGCACATTATTGGAAAAAAAGTAATTTATATCTATTATAGGCATAACGTCTTTTTCCAAGGTCCAGTCCTCTCCTGACAACATGCCCAAAGTATATGAGGCGAAGTTTTACGATCCTTGCCTCTAA